CTCGAGGTAAAAAGTAGAAGAAAAAAAAAGATGCGCTTCACTGACAATTATCCATCCAGGAAAACAACAATATTAATTATTAATTATTTTGGATCCATTACAACATTCAAACACGTAATTTAGCTTTTAGACTGTTTTGAGAAAAAAAATAAACCTTTACAGAAAGATATCTGGTTGTAAAAATTGAAAGTCAGTGAAATTTTCAATTTTCTCAGTGTGAATTAAAATATTAATTTCTCATTAGCCAGACTTGACATAGTAACTTCCACCAACAATATCCCCACAGAATTAAATTTTTAATTATCATTTTAGATTAATTTTTTAAATATCATAAAGTCAAAAGTACTACGATAATAATTTAATTTTTACCAGAATAAAAATTACAATCTGGCTGAATTACAAGGTGACCTTGACTTTTGAAAAATCTTGCCTTTGAGAGACGCCAAGGCAAATTTCGATTGAACTTTTACAGGATAAACGATACTCTAGTAAAATCTCTATGAGTTTCCTAACAGGATCCGAGATATATCTTACCAGTATCTTACTAGAATTTCGCTTAAGTTTCTTTAGGATCTTAACAAAATCCTGATGAAATCAGATAGATCATAGGAAAAGTCATAGAATTTTCTAAGATTCTGTTAGGATTCTAAACAAACTTAAGCGAAATCCTAGTAGGATTCTAGCATTTTAGAATTGTGCTAAGAAGCTTTAGATGGATCCTAAATGTTACGATCCTGTAAGATCCTAGTAGTAAATAGACAGGAAGTGAATAGGATTTTGTCTAGGGTATCCGGTGGACCGATTTCAGTTCAGACTTGGCTCAATCTCGTTTCAGAGGCTTGCACAAAGAAGCCTCGGCGTCTTGAGACCAATTCCAGGATAGACTTAAATCTTCTTACTTTCGTTCACTTCTGCTTTCTTCTAGTAAGACTATTCTCTTCTTCAAACTTACCTTTTGAAACTCACTATCACATTCCAGTACACTATATCTGATAATCTAGAATTTCGAATAACTTTAAAGGACATTCATACTATCACATGTTAATATTAGTTAACTTACATTCCAGTTGAATTTGAATTTTTACTGCACTGGAATTTAAATTATTATCGTAGACGTTTTTGTCTAAATTCTTAAATTCCTTTAAAACAGAGTTCAAAATTTTTATTACATTAATAGAATTTTTCATTTATCGACTTCCAGTTTTTACTACCTAATCACTGGAAATTTGAAACGAGAAAAGCTCGTGGTTTTTTCGGTCTACTTTTCTCTGAATCATATACAAAAGTTCGTTCCATCATTGAGTAAAGTCCGTAAAATATGTAATCGTGGGCTTTTTAATCTGGAAACTGTAAATCAGCGCTGTGATTTTTCACGCGCTTTAACCCATATTTTGACGGAGATGACTTCCGGTTTGAAAAGTCTGTGATTACATATTTCACGGACTTTACTCAATGATAGAACGAACTTTTGTATGTGATTCAGAGAAAAGTAGGTGAAAAAGTTTACAAATTTACAGTGATTCTATTCTATGGTAGATGATTAGTATGGGTCCATAGAAATCAGTGCAGAAAGAGCCATATTATTTTGACCATTTGCTTAAACTAAGCTCGAAAGGTGAAAGGAGAATAAAACACTATAGAACTAGCATGGACACTTCTTCTATTTCTATCCACCATTTGTCGATTTAAAAGAAGCATTCTTACGTCGAAAGTTAAGAGGTACAAGAATAAGGGTGGCACTTTACTGGTTACTCGGCGTTATTAACGAAGTTACTTAGTTACTTCGGTACTCCTCCAGAAAGTAACGAAAAACCGTGAAGTAACGAACTTAGTTATTCGTTACTGGTAATCAGATAACTAGATTAGTTACTTCTTTACCAGTAACGAGTAACTAAGTTTGTTACTGGTTACAAGTAAAGTAAAGGTAAAGTGCCACTCGTATACAGAATTTTCAAAAGTAAATCACTTATGATGTGAATACCGAGAGAGAAGGCTTTAATATTAAATTTTTCTTCATTAATATTTCTCTGGAACGATAATTTCGTTGAAAAAAGTTAGACTTGATTATCTTGTCCTCAATTTAGCTCTTAGCAATAGAAAAGGATTGAGTAACAGGGCTAATTACGGACGTGATTCACTCATGCACGATATTTTTGTTTTTTTTTGAGTACCGACACGAACATTAATAAGCGCTTACCTGAACTTGTTTCTTATAGGCGATTCTGCTTTATACTTTCAACGCTTTGGAAACGCTCAATTCTTCATCTATTCTTAAATAACGGCAAACAATATCGTTTTTAGATTACCGGAAAACAACTAATTAAATAGGCGGAAACTATAAATCTTTTGTACAAAATCATATATTACAAACTATGAGCTGTAATTTCCTTCAGAGATGTCTGTTACATCAATGATTATTATTTGTCTTTTTTTTGCAATATAGTAGATAGTAATAAACTGAATAAAAAACAAAAAAAAAGATAGAAAAGGTACTTAATTATCTACAAGTTCTTTTTTTCTGGATTTTAATCAAATATCTGCAAGAATTTTTATGTTATTTTTCTCTCTTTCATTTTTGCTAATTAATTATACAGTTTTTTTTGTGGTATAGAAGGGTTTCTTCACATGAAAATTTCGATATAATATTTCATACAATCTTAACATCCCTATTAAATTATGATGAAGACGTACGATTACATCATCATCATCGCACTGTTCTTTTCTCAACAAAAGAAGTTTAAAAATATTCGAAAACTGATGATCTCTACTCACCCTGAAGCAAGAAAGAGAATAGAACACTTTGTAACGTCACATCAACATACATATCAGATAATATTTAACAACAACGAAAAACGTTTTTAAAAACTTTTCTAATGTAGTCGCTTTTTTTTAAATAAGAAAAGAAGATAGAGTAAGGAAAAAGTTCATGTCATCATCTTAGTTCAGCTCTCTTGCGCTATCCAGTTCTTCTGTAAATTTGTTAGTTACTCAATCTCGTTAAGAAGAAGAAGAAGAAGAAAAAAACCAAAACTTTGTCTATATACACGATGATGACTTTCTAAAGATGAAAAAAAGACAAGAAGAAAAAAAGAAAACATTTAATCCAGTGTTGTTTTCTCAATACGATTTCCTGAGGAAAACAAAATAGAATGAATGGCACGTTTTTTTAAATTATAGAGCGTTGCAGTACATTCTCTCTTCCCCCCCCCATCTCTCTCTCTCTCTCCCTCTCTCATTCTCGCTCTCACATATACTATCAACTATATTCACGTCTTTTTTTTTCCAACAATTGAAATAAATTTGTGCAAATGGAATTAGTTAATTGTCTACGTGTTTAAACAGATAAACATGGATATAATATATGTAATTAAACTGGCAGATGATCTTCTAAGTTATAAGAAACGGTTTTATTATGTTTAAGATCTAATTTTTAACAAATTATTATTTTCAATAAAAAAAAATAAAACTAGAAAATAAAAAAATGTATTGATTTTATTTTCCGAAATGTAGTACGATTTAATTTAGTTTTGAATCGAATTTTGTATCCTTGCTTCTCTAAGTGGTATTTTAATATTCTGTTGGTACTCTTTTATTCACCAACATCTTGATGAAATATAAATGTAATATACTTTTTTTTTCTCTTTCTTAACACATGAAAATTAACTAGTCATGTTTAGCTAAGAACAACTGTGACACACTAGGTAATTCATCAATACGGCAAAAATATTGTTGCACAGGTTTTTTTTTCTTCAGTTTTTTAGAAAATAACGACATAGAATAATTTTTTTACAATTCTACGCAAATGGAAGAATAAGAAAGAGGATGAGAGAAAAAATATTTAATAAGTTAATGTTTCTCTCGTCAGAATTGATAATAAATAATCAAAGTAAACGTTAATTTTGTGAACATCTGTTTTTATTTATCCACATATGTTTTTATTGTGAATTATCGTTAAATATAAACATGGTAAAGTCGAAAATGCAATTTCTGTATAACTATATGATTGCGTTTATTGATTTCTTTCATGCGAGAGATTAACAAAAGTACGTCAACTTTAATCAAATCTAAGAAAAAATTGTGCCAGTAACAACAAGCGATTAGATTATTCAATATAATCAGCCAAAAGTGACTAAATTTCATTAATTTTTTATACTGAAACAATGTTTTTAGTTTGAACTCAAACTTCTCTTAAAAAATCATAAGTAAAATATTGCATTCTATGTATTCTATGTCGTTACTCTTTATTTTATTTTCCATTTTTTCTGGGTTTAAAAAGCTTCTTTTCTTTTTTTTTCTCTCTAAGAATAAAGAATCTAGTTTTGCTCTTCTAGTTTCATGAAGTTAAAATTAGATTCTCGTTCTATCAATTTTCTTTCAAGTATAAACCACCAGCGGTGTTTGGGAAAACATAAATGTAACTTTTTCTTCCATAATATATCTCGATGATACAAAAAACTTGTTAGTTAGGCATTTTGAAAAGCCTTAAAAGTTCTATTTTTATTTTATCATTTTTAAACTTGGAAATACCTTTAGAGCTACTTCATCGAATCATCGGCATCCAATACTAACAAAATTCTTGTGTTGAAGAAGATTGTTAAGAATAAATAAACATTTTAAAAGGTTCTTGAACTTTGTATATCTTGATTATATATTCTAAAAAGACATATCTGCTTGATAATATTAAACTATGATGTGGCAATAAATTAATTTTACTTACTGTCAATAGTTAGAATATTTTTAAGATTAAATATCACAATAATATTGTTTTAGTTAGCAAACAAATGGTCATGTCAAAAAATTGATCATTTTAGTTCATGGACTATGGTATATAATACATTTTATAGAAATTACGTAAATATATTTATTAAAATTTTACATTAAAGTGTTCATCAAACCTCGAGCTCACCTTAACTTAACAAGTAAAAGAGTTACGATTGTAAATATGTTGTCAGAAGAGACTCTTTGGATATGTGATAATATTTGACATTATATCACATTCATCATAGTGATTCTTTATTGGTATTATCGTCACGTAAAAGTAGTTGATTGCTTGAATGATTTTGTGTTGTATAAGCAAATACGGCTGATGATGTTTCTGTATATTGTCTGTGTGTTCGTCTATCTGCATCTTCTCCTTTTTCTTGTTGATCATCAGTCATATACAATGGTCCATCATCATAAAATTCTTTTTCCGTTAAAATTGCGAGGAGTCGATATAATTGTAAAAATAAAATAATACCATTTTTAGCCGTAAAAAATATTGTCGAATAACTTCGAACATTAAACTTGATTACCTTTTATAAGAAAAACAACAACAGCTACATTTTGTTAGATCTTATTAATGAAAAGAAATTAAACAAACCTACCGCCACTAGTCGCAAAGCCAACTGAACTGCTGAACAACTCATGAGATTCATTTCATAGATATACCATGATTCATTGGCAAATAATTGTTGAATCGGATACAGAATAAACATTCTTGGACCCTTTTTTTTCGGTCGTTTACTATTGATAGACGATTGTGTTCGTGTTCGAGTAGAGGTCATATTAATAGGAAATTGAAATAAACTCCATGATAAAACGCTTAGCGTGGCTATTAACATATTGTGAGATCGAAGAACTTCTTCTTCATTGAAAATTGTTAACAAATCAACAATATCGGATGATAATGACATATAGACTAGTAATAATTGAGACAAATTGGAACGACTTGTCGTACCTTTGGGAAGAAACCAACGACCCAAAATTATTAATAGCAGTAATGATACTTCTAGACTCATCACTTTTGTATCAAGATTAACATTAATTTGAAGCTAAAATGAAAAAAGTATTATCTTTCAAAGAACTGATAGGAGAAGCATACCGTTTTCACAATAACATCACTTGGTATCGGTCCATCTTCATGCGTATTGGTTGAAAACACATCTGTCGTTGAATTTAACATTTTATGTTGAACACGTCGCATTTCTAAAATCCAGATACTTGGAATTGACGCCAGAATGAATATTAAGAAACAAGGAGAAAACCTAGATAGAAAAAGATTTTACATTTCTAATAAGTTTCCATCTAGATAAAATACATCATTTTAAGTTCACAAACTTTGTTGAGTGAGAAGAAAAAATTTGAGCATATTCTTAAGTCAACGTTTAATTTTCCTTAGTATGCCGTTTTACAACATTGGCTTTGGACAACTATCGATATGTCTTAAGTAGTTTCTGTAGTCTAAAGTCACTGTTCAACTAACGATAGTATTCCCTGGAGTTAATTTAAACTTTATTAGTACAGGAAAAAAAAGAAATGTGGAAAGGGAACATCACAAAGTAAATGGATAAATACTAGAAAATAGAAGAGAGTTAAGACAATTTTATGCTAACACTTAAAACATCAAAAATTAAGTCAAACTTTGGCTAAGATTGACTTGAGACTTAAGTTTAAGAGCTATTTAAGAGTGTCTACCAAATGATTACTTGATCTGAAGGCGAGAAATATTTCGATTCATGAAGTTTTCTTATAAGTCAGTATCAAAATAAACAGTCTTTTGTTAGATTGCTATTTTTCTTACTTACCACTTTGGATCTTGTCCCTGTCTCTCTACAATCGTTATAACTAATTCAATTAACAGAAAAACTGTACCCAATGAATTTAATAAACACCAGTAATCTTTAATATCTTCATAAACCAAATAAGTAGCTAAGAGATTATGTATACAAAACGCTGTTCGAACCAAACTTGCACATATTATGTTGAATGAATGGTTTATTCGTCTTTTGCACGCAGTTAACATGAACTAGTTTGTTTATTTAAAAAATAAAAATAGACTAATAGGAACTTAGAGTGTCTGTAACATATTAAGCATCATGTAAGTTACTACTTTTGTATAAATAAGAAAATGGGCACTATTCTTTAAATAATACAAATTATTTGGTAAGGTGAAATTAGAACCAATTTACCATTCATTCTTTCAGAATAACAGAAATAACAAAATTTTTTTCTTTGCTTCCCAATCAAAGATGAAGAGAAAAAATATCTGGAATTGATCAATTGTCAACTGGGAATTTTTTTAGCAACAATAATTCAAATCAAGAAAAATTGTCTTTTTTCCGTTTTTATAAAACGCATGTTCAATTGCGATGCTATTCAAGTTAATGATTGTTCAATTACAAGAAATAATACCTGTATATTATATCTCAGATGGATCATCGATCAGTACGAAAAAAAAATTAAAAAAAATTGGGAGCGATGTTCGTATATTTGAAAATGTACTCAAATATTAGAACACAAACTCAATATCTTTCAATAAGAATCGTTATGCATTAAAATATAAACAGTTTATTCAGAAAATATCGATATTTTTTTTCATTAAATTATGTAAATTAATCGTATATTATTATTTTCATTATCTAATGAAAAAGCCTCAATCACTTTATGCTGAGAATGAATTATTGCATGAGCATACATTCATTATTTCAACATAAAAAGCACTGTGTTAGTAAACATATCTACAGTATTGACTACCTAAATTACCGATTGACAAAAGAACTTATATCTGTGACGAAAAATGCAACAGTCATTTTTTCCAGTCAAATATTTCTCTGATAGAAAAGTAAAAAGAAGGATGCAACCTTTCAATAGAACAAATCAGTCATAAGAATTGTTGACTACACTCGGAATGCTTCGTCAACGTCATTTAACTAACTTTATTCCTTTGGCATAAATTAATATTCAAAGCTAGTGAAAAAGAATAACAGAAAAAATAGAAATTACTACAGAATAACCAGTTGGAAATGTTAAACATTCTATGATAATTGATGAGGAGACTGCCAATATTAGTGTGACATCATCGAAGGATAATAGGGCGGAATCTGTTTCTTGAACTCTACTCTTCTAAAAGCAACCAAATGTGAACGTGATTTGATTCTTTTAGTTCACAATTTGCTCATACCCTATGTATATCTCATGTACAAATTCTTTTGCTTTATTCATCTTTTGCTTCAATCGACTTGTCCAGTAATGATAATAAGATTCAGATATTAATAACACCACATTCGGGACGAATATACATTTGGGATTTATGAGGAAAAAACAACAACAGCTCAGTTTATTATTTTGAAAGCAAACAACATTAGAACGCACTCTTATTTATTAAATGGCTAAACAATAATCTAAAGAATTCAATGCTCCATCACCGTGCGCTAGTAGAAAACCAATCATTGACCAAGTAATCCTGTTCATCAATTATATGTAAACAAACCTTAACATATAATTTAAATCGGCCACACATCATTATTCTATAAGCAAGATGAAATGCGTAAGAGTTACGTGCATTAGAAATCTTCTGATAAACGGCAAAAGATTAAAAAGTTTTCCCGCTATTACGGGAATTTGTGAAAAAATTCTTTGCACGATTAAATTACAGACCTCGTAGAATCTTTTAGCGAACAATGATGTCATATCAAAATCGTTTTTATCTCAATTATTTTGTTTTGACTGTTTTAAATCGTGAATTGTTGCAATTAAGTTTCAGTTGATATAAGCTATTTATTTGAAAAAGAAAGAAATCAGCAGTTTTATACTATCTCTACCCACCGAAAGAGAGACAAGCCCCATTATTATCGGTGATAGAGAAAACAAGAGCAACGCATATTGTGATAACAATAGAAAGATCTAGTTTTAATATTAAATTAGTAGTACGAAATATTTTCAACTAGGGATGGCACATTTTCTTTACTGATGCGTTACTTTACTGAGTAAAGCAACGCTTTCAAATATCACCGTATGAGTGACGAACAACCGAAAATGTATTGTTTTATCACCTTCCGGACACAATGCGACTAAAGC